ATTAGTTCCATGATTCAAGTTGCAGTTTGAACAAATTGTGCGTAATTCGTGGTACGACATAACAGTATCTATCCACCTACTCTTAAAAGAAATTTAGTAGACATTTACGCTTTAAAAAGGTCTGATTAGGTAATTTTCTGTAGCAAAATTAAGATTTCAATAACATAAAATTAGCAATATTTGAGTAATACAGCCAATTAGACACATAATGATCACATGAAGCTTGATTTCATGACTTTCTAGTATTCTTGGTGATATGTTTTTCTCTGAAAATTATTAATCATACAAGAGGGGGGGGGGGTCTTTCATTGTAACATTGTAAAGTTGTATTGCAGTCCGGACTAACCGCCAAAGAGGATTTACATGTATCCTGATTGATATATATACCTCAATGGAAATATTGTTTTTTTATCCTGATCCTATTGGGGCACTTTATTACAACATTGCGCATATTCATGTGTGTATAGCGTACTTTCCTATAGGCTCCTGAAACCTACAAAAAGCCAGGGATACCATACATGTTCACCAAAGCATTTTTAATACATCCAGAACCCCACCTCTTTCCACACATCGAAAATACAAAAAAGGATAGCCATTTTCAGACAATTTTGCTAAGAACCCCATTTGGTGGCACATATTGAATGTAAGATGTTAAACTATTGTTGACAATATTTAGCTGCATGTGGAAAGGAAATGTTAATTCACTTTCATTGGAAATGTGTACTACTAGTACTGCATCAATTTTAGCATTTTGGTTCAGACAGGGTGGGGGTAGTGGTGATGCACCTTTATCATATTACCATGGTACCGGTATTACAAAAATAACAGTGATTTTTTGGTACAGTCCCACTTATATTGCAAATAGTTTCACAAGCAATTGGTAAAAACTAATCTCTGTACTGAGTAGAATTAACACAGTGATAGCAACAAGAAATATTATCAGTTGAATAATTCAATTTCTTTGGATGATTCTACATTGGTTTCCTATGCTACATTGAACACACAAGCACAGTGCATTACTTTATATGTAAAATATGCATTTATTCTGTATAAAATATTTCAAAATATCTACTATGCAAAAGTTACAATACTATTTTTCTAGCATATGTACAAGCAATGTATAAAGATACAGATACATTGTCCAAGTGATACACAGTGTTATAACCAAAACTAAAATTTAGTTTATCCATAATAAGGTTTACAGGTACACAGGTTACAAATTACATTGGTGAACATTTTGAATTTGTTTTGTCAACAATACAACAAGCTCTTACAATTTCTGCTTCATTATAAAATTAAAAAGCAAATCTTAATATAAAAAGTAAGCAACTTAACTTTATTAATTAAATAAAGGTTTGAATATTGCAAGATGAATAATATAACTTTAAAACATGAACCAAAATCGTAAATATATCCCAAGGAATTGCAATCATTTTAGTTAAAAGGTTGGTCAATTTTAATATGTAATAAAAATTAAATAAAAATGATTAAAATTTCAAATTAAAGAACAAGTACAATTAAGCTACAAACAAAAATAAAAAGTTGTACTCTAAAAATTAAGTGGTGTACATGTACATTAATATATAACAGTGTATTTGCATAGGCCAACCAATATTTACAATGATTGATGTACAAATTGTCCTCCAGAACACAATTTACATAATGATGTACATTCATATAAATTATTAATCACGTACATCTGATATCACTTGATTATCTTTCTACATTTATATTGCTGTGATCAATTTTACGATTATTTTTTAAACACAAACGTTTGTTTATTTACATGTTATTTGCTCTTTGAGGCAGGATGGCTGTACTTTCAATTGCTACCATACTTCACTTTCTTTGCCTTTTATTACTAGTTCAGGATAGTACTATATACTGCATAGCCACATCGGTTACACTTTTCTTTCATTTCAATTGTTTTTTGGTAACATTACCAATGATTTACAAATCTGTTATTTTGATTTCAGATTTTTTCCTTTCTATATTGTAATAATAATTTAGGTAACTAACTGCTGTATGTTGGATTTGATATAACTAGTTTGCTGTTTCAGCCTCTATGAAAATAAATATTTTTAGGGATATGTGTAGATCTGCATCTCTTGGTTTCACTGTTGTCCATCTTTGTTATCATCAGTATTTCATCTATCGTGGGTTTTGTTTTGCCAATGAGGGGTAAACTTGAAACTATTATTTTGTATTCTGAAGACAAGATGAAATAATCCCAACAACATACTGCAGCAAAACCATAATGGACAACCAATGATAAATAAAATACTGATATACTGTGGAATACTTAATTTTTGCTGGAATTAATTTTCGCTGAAAAGGCTTTTGGGGCATTTTGTGAAGGATTTATTTTCACTGATTTTTGATGAGTTTAATGTGAAATACAAGAAAAAAAGTATATTCGCTGGATTTTATTTTCACAGAATCATCCCTTCAGCGAAAATAAATTCCAAGCGAAATACAAGTATCAGAAGCTGAAAAAATTCAACATTTATCTTCACACAGAAGAACTCTTGTTATAAATGTATAGTCATTTATATAATAGAAAAAGCATGATATTTAAAGCTGTATCAGTTCCTAAGCACCAATGTATCCAAGCAACATACACATGGGCAAAAACTTTTCTGTAAATAAATATTTTCAAAAGCAAAAGGGAAATATAATTTACCCTGATTTTGAACAAAAATCATGGAATGGGTTAAAGCACAATGTAATATAAGAATATTAGATACCTCCCCCCTAACCCAAATCAAACTGGGTATGTAGGAATGGGTTAAAGCAATGAAATATGGGAATGTTAGATACCTCGCCACTACCCCCAAATAAAACTGGGTATGTAGGAATAAGATAAAGCAGTGAAATATGGGAATGTTAGATAGCTCCCCCCTAACCCAAATCAAACTGGGTATGTAGGAATGGGTTAAAGCAATGAAATATGGGAATGTTAGATACCTTCCCCCTACCACAAATCAAACTGGGTATGTAGGAATGGGTTAAAGCAATGAAATATGGGAATGTTAGATACCTCCCCCCTAACCCAAATCAAACTGGGTATGTAGGAATGAGATAAAGCAATGAAATCTGGGAATGTTAAATACCTCTCCCTCCCCCTATTCAAACTGCATATTTTTCAGTAATGTGATCATCAAATCCTGAACTTCTCTTTTAGCACCATGACAGCTAGGATATGTTTGTAGATACATGTATTTAAATACTCTTAGCACTGAATTTGTCAATGAATCTAGAAGCCAAATTAATCTTATAGACAGAGCTAGGTAGGAGCTTATCATAATCCATCTACAGTTTTCTTGTATTAAAAGTAATCCTCAGTCATTGCATTGACAGAGCAAAAATGATATTTTCTTACTATGTTATTTTTCTATGAATATTTCTGGCAGTGTTCTTTGTGTTCAGTGTTCAGGCTGACTTTGTAGATTTCATTCAAATATCAAATGATCACCTGTAGGAATCGAAAGTTGATGTTGGCCAATGACTCACAGGACAAGCTACTTTAGTAAACAGCCAAAATAAACTTATGAATTACTAGTAGTAATTGTTTTAACTTATCTAGACAAGTGAATATAAAAGTACATGGGGCCTGCAAGTTCATCCACCAACATGCTGTGTACAAGGTAGACACCAATCAGACATAGAATGAATGAAGAAACAACACCACCACCAATAGTCTTAGAAAAACAGCAATATGACTACAAGAATTGGAACTTAACACAAACTTTTTGGTATTACCAGTAATAACTTAAAATAGTGAAACATATTTTGACAAAAAACTTTCAGAGGGCATAAAAGTATCCGAGCTACAAGTAAATTGAAAATAAATATAAAAAAATCTCTTGATAATTATTTTATCCTGAAAGAAACCAAATTTTAGATGTCTGATCAGCGTAAAAATGTGAGAAAATAATATCTTGTTCTATCACTCATTCAGCTAATATCAGAGACAAATCTGAATTATTGACATACCTGTAACATGGTATAATTTGAATTATAATACAGTCAAACCTATTTTATTGATCATGCTATTTATTTAAATGTCACATATTCAACAGTCTTTAACAATCACCATCCACAGCAGCAAATCAAATTTAAGGTCAATTGGTGGATGGCAGCACAGTCACTCTCCTAGTAGAGTGACTGTGATGGCAGTGATGAAGAATTACATGTCACATCGTTAGATGTTTCATGAGAAGTTAGATAAATAAATAATATTTTGAAGGGAGCATAACAACAGCCTGTCATGAAAGGGCCCTGTATTGATATTGTGTCCTCTGGTAACAGTAATGTAATTACCCCATAAAATAAATATCCAAATCTACTGTAGTGTTGTGAGGTTATTAGCACCAACCTGATTGTATCATATGATACAACAAATCTGACTTAAAATAAAATGTTCAGCAGTTCCAGGACCCTGATTTCTTGTGTTAGCCACTCTTCAAAACACAATATTATGGAAATAAGATGAAATTTTGTAAATGATATGCAAATGAGGTATTAGAAGTTTTTGCCAGGTGGTGGATCTGACATAGTAATATTCTCATTTGTTGTATTCTGGCTCACTTCCATGTACTTTACGCCAACTCGCTTTCTCTTGAAGAATCCAGCCTGACAAAAAAAAGAGAAGAGAGTTATGAGTTTGGTAACACATATTAATATGAGGTTATTACGAGGATACCGAAAATTACCCGGTATGCACAAAGACAGTACAGCGGGAGTATTGACTGCAGCCGAGATTGATGCGACTGCATACTGTCTGAGTGCATACTTTGCGGTATCCTCGTAATAACCTTATTATTATACATCTTTTCCTCTCATCCAAAAAGTGATACAAATCCAAAAAGTTTAGAACAGATTTAGCAAACTTTTTTGTGTGGAGTCTGGTCTGAAACCCTTGGCCGCCATGTTTGTTTTTATTGTTAGAGGACGCTTACGTGCATAATCGTTCCATTTTTGGAATTCACATTTTCTAATATGGTAGGATGAAAATACCTAGTACAATACCGCAAAATCATGGCACGCTGAAACTTATGGCATTACGGTGACAGATGTATAATAATAATGTATAATAATGATGACCAGGTAGCAAGCCAGCATACTCCCAAACCCTGCAGTTTAATGCAAGTGACATCCTCATATTGATTTAGTTATAAGACTTACCTTCCAAAGCACCACAATAATGAGAGCCAGAATGAGAAGTCCTCCAATAATGCTGACAATGATAACCCAGATTGGTACAGGTAAAGTACCTGCTTTAGCACTCATAGGGATTGCTATACTTGAAATCTATAGAGTAAAGATATATACATTTAATAACCCAGATTGGTACAGGTATACCGGTAGTACCTGCTTTAGCACTCATGGGGATTGCTATACTTGAAATCTATAGAGTAAAGATATATATTTACTATCGTTTCAGTCATTCTTTGCGTCGCAAATGTATCAAAACAAACTTTATTGTAGCAAAACAACTTCAACAACATTGGAAGCAATTGCTGTACATTTACCGACAATGTTGATAATAACTTGCTGTAGTGTAGCAATATTTAGTTAAACATAATCGTTCAAAGAATAGTAAAGTGTCATACCCACTTTGACATTGTTCTAGCTAAAAAAATATGATACATTAAAAGCAGATATCCTGTCTTAATCATTAACACTGTATAAGTAATGGAGGGTCTTATTCTTTATGCACCCAATCTATAATGTATAACCTTGTTCACAGGTTGTGTGAATTCAGAATTAGAGCTAGAAATGGACTTAATTTGAGACCCCTCTCATACTCCATTGCCGACGATGCCACACACATATCTTGTGACGTTCTGTCAATCAATGTCAAAATGCTCTGGTTTTTTCAAATGGAGCCACTTGAATTCATATTCTGCAGTTAGGATGAATTTATAATATATTTTAAATCAACTATTTATGTCATTGTAAGTATACTTTAATTACGAAATGATTTGGTAAAGGTAATTGTGATTAACTTTATTCATTGTATAATAATCATTTATAATATGATAGTAGAGTTAAAATCTGACTCCTTTACCTCGTCATCTGCCCCTGGATAGGATTCCGGTGGAATACTGTAAGGCATACTTGTTATTAGCACATGTCCATCTGATTTTATTTCTGTCTCATCAAATTTGGCCTGAAAAAAATAATATTATAAATAATTATATTTGTTAGTACTCTATAACCAACCTTCTAGCAGTAAGTTATAGTTATTGAGTGACTAAATGGAATGGTTCTATAAATAAATAAATGAATGAAAGAATGAACAAACAAACAAACAAACAAACAAACAAAAAACAAAAGAATGAACAAATTATTGACATTTAATATTCTTAATTCATGATATTCATACTTACTGGTACTTTGGCTACTGTGTCTTTCCATAGCCTTGATTTAATTTCAACCAGAGCTGTATCACCACCATGGAGTACAAAATCAATTGAACATGTTATCTTGACACACTGGGCAAATTGGCAGTCCTAAAAAATACATATAATGACCACAATAAAGTTACCATAACAACATAATAAGCATTACCCACTTGAATTTATAATACAAAGAGCAATAACTCAAGTACAAAACTGAAGCTGGTTTAGAAATTCATAAAAAATATTACATAACTGAACATTCATATTTGATCGGACATGCTTACAACTTAACATGCACACTCAGTCACCAATTTTTCTACCACAATAAAACAAATATGAGGTTTAATAAATAATAACATTTACCACTCTGTAAACTGTTTTTTCATCTCTCCTGTACCGACTTCCCCGTTTCACTTTTGAACTTTCAGTGTAATTTGATATGGTGAAGTCTGCATTGGTCTGCAAAAAAAAAAAGATTGTCATATTTCAGGCACTGTTTCAAGTTTAACAACAGTTGTGTAACATCAGTAACACGAACACATATTTTCAGGCAAAGACTCAGACATATAGTCACAAGTCACCTATTGGTATGTGTTCTTACATGTGCAAAGCCTGAAAACTGTTACCCTATGTTTTTTATTTGTTACTGTAAAATACTCGTTTCGGAATTCATTTTCTCTATTTTTGCTGAAGGAATGGTTCAGTGAAAATAAAATCAAGTGAATATACCTTTTTTCCTATTTTTACATTCAACTTTTCAAAAATCAGTGAAAATAAATTCCATACAAAACACCAAAAAGTCTTTTCAGTGAAAATTAATTCCAGCTAAAATAACGTATTTTACAGTACCACAAACTAAAAGTAATTCTGATCCAGGATGACAAACAAAACAAGTTTCATAAAAAAATTTACAAAAATTCCTCAGGTTAATCTGGACACTCAAATTGCACACAAACACTCAGACACATAAACAACCTTTATGCTATAATGCTGTAAAATAATAGGTTGTTTATGCATATGTAAACAGTACCTAGGCAGCTGGAAAAAAATTTCTGGTCAAAAAATGCATTTCTAGATATTTGCATGCTAATGATTGCCATATTACATGATTTATCACCATGAAATTTAAAATTGATACCTTTAACAAAGAAGTTTGGCATAGTATACATGCCTTTGATAATAAAATATGAAAAATATGGTGATGACAGATTAAAGTGACATGCATGGGAACTGTCGTACCTTGCAACCTCCATTATCATTGAAAATTGTGACTCAGACCCAATCTGGCCCAGCTGTACTCACCTGTAGATTTTCTGGGTTGAGTTTACCATCAATAATACATGGCATATCACCTTGTAATGACACATCTAATAGATACAATGACTCAATCTGGCCCAGCTGTACTCACCTGTAGATTTTCTGGGTTGAGTTTACCATCAATAATACATGGCATATCACCTTGTAATGACACATCTAATAGATACAATGACTCAATCTGGCCCAGCTGTACTCACCTGTAGATTTTCTGGGTTGAGTTTACCATCAATAATACATGGCATATCACCTTGTAACGACACATCTAATAGATACAATGACTCAATCTGGCCCAGCTGTACTCACCTGTAGATTTTCTGGGTTGAGTTTACCATCAATAATACATGGCATATCACCTTGTAACGACACATCTAATAGATACAATGACTCAATCTGGCCCAGCTGTACTCACCTGTAGATTTTCTGGGTTGAGTTTATCATCAATAATACATGGCATATCACCTTGTAATGACACATCTAATAGATACAATGACTCAATCTGACCCAGCTGTACTCACCTGTAGATTTTCTGGGTTGAGTTTACCATCAATAATACATGGCATATCACCTTGTAACGACACATCTAATAGATACAATGACTCAATCTGACCCAGCTGTACTCACCTGTAGATTTTCTGGGTTGAGTTTACCATCAATAATACATGGCATATCACCTTGTAATGACACATCTAATAGATACAAT